TTTATAGTTTTTGGTAATGTTTAAAAACCTGTAAGAGACTAAATGAATGTTCTGTTCGCCATTGCACGCAGCTTTGGAACGGTATGTCAATATATTTCGTATCAGCATTTTTATAAAAAGCTGCTTTTCATGTCATGAGTTATAATGCGGTTTTATCTTCTGGTCTAAAAACATTTCATCGATTCTCCAGTTGAATAACGACAGCGATTTTTTATCGTTATCATTATTAATGGCTAACGATTGTAGGATGAAAAATATCTTGAAGTATATTCCTCTTCCTTCACGTATTATCTCTGATTTTTTTACACGGTATTATTAAACCTTGTTCTTAGCTTGGCTTCCGCCTTGCGCTTCAAGAAAAAAAAACAATGCAGACATTGATATCTGCGTTTAATACTGAGATGCAGCAGAGATTTTGGAAGCAACAAAACCGGATAAGAATTCTTCTATTACATTCCATGATATCCACAAAACCGGAACGAAAAGAAAGCCGCAAAAATCAGCATTGTGACTAGTAATTTCACGTTTTAAATTTAAAAAAAAAGATTTCCAGAAGATAGATGGAGGTTTAATTTATACTAGATTAAAAAAGGTCACGTTTGAACGAGACTCCCAAAAAGGTAGATATTTTTTTCCAAAACGTTTATAACAACAACAATGAGGATATTTGTCCAAGTACTCATACTTAAGTGCAGCTTACAAGCGGCATAAGGCCAAAAGTGTGAGGCACCTAGTGAGGATCTAAATCACTACTCAGTTGTGATGGTTCTAGCGAGGCAAGCTCATTAACCATTACACCATGTCGAGATGCCCAATGATACTTAGATGCGGCACAAGGCTGACAGTGTTGAGCATCCAGTAAGGATTGAACTCACTACTCACATTGCAATTAATCAAGCAAAGCAAACTTGCTAACCATTACACCACGTCGAGGTCCCCAGTCCATAATGTAAATAAGAATTTAATTCTTAGGAAATGATTTTAAATGCATAAAAAGAGTTTTTGGAGAAAGAGAGATTGATTCATTCATACATTTTGAAAGGGCTTATCAACCCTTTGCAGTTTATTTAATACCAGAAAATATTTTTACATTGTAAGAATTTATTCTGTCAGTAATACAAGTCCTACTAATTAACCCATAGATAGGGGGATAGAAAAGGTAGATTCATACATTTCCCAAGGGTATTTGCGAATATAACGAACCTGGCTGGAATTAGAACTCGGGTCTCTTATTTCTAATTCAGATCCGTTATTCATTACACAACCCGCCTCTTCAAAGCTTACAGCACTACGCGGTCACTCATCTAGACATTGGCCAGGCTTTACATTGCTTAAATTCGGTGAGTGTGCCAGAACCGATGTTTCAACGTGATATGGACATAAACCGCTAGATAGCATGCAGTGTTATATCTATCTAGCTATCCGTGATTGTCCCCTATTAACTGTGACAATTACTATAGCAGGTATTTAATGTTAAGATTTCTCGCGTAGTAAAATAGTCATGAGTTGTTTCTCTTTGTTACCTGTCGGTATTTTTGTCAAGATAAAACAGAAAATATATAGTCATCCACAGACAGAGTATTTCGCAGTTTCTCAGTGTGACTAGGTGTCCGATTACTTCAAGCCGGGATCGAAACCCGACTGATATCTTACCTCTAGGCCATCGTCGCATGATAGAAAGGAAGGGAATTTTAACGTTTTTCTCTACACGAAATACGCCAGCGGTTCAGAGAACGCTATTCATACTTGTAGAGTAATGCTTAATAGCAGTAGGAGCCGCTGTTTTTAAAACCCCCTTTCTCTAGAGAGCTCAACCGGTTTTCCGGGAGCATATAATATATATATATATATATATATATATATATATATATATATATATATATATATATATATATATATTTGTGTGTGTGTGTTTGTTAAAATTTCAAATAGAATATATTCGTAAAGGACAATATGAATAAAGATAAAAGGAAAAATTATCTTAGCTGACACAGGACTTTCGCAAAGGCAAACGCAAGGATCCTTGCATTTGGCTAGATAAAGTTGGTATTTACCCAAGTCCTTCCCATTAAGGCGTGTGTGCCCAAGGCCAGTTTTTAACGTGAGGCTTTCCGATCTCGTACGTCACTCAGAAGACGAAACGCGTCGGCTAAGATAAGGTTTCCTTTTTTATTCATTTATATATATATATATATATATATATATATATATATATATATATATATATATATATATATATTCATCTTTTTTTAGTGCGTGATTGATCTTGGTTTTCCACATCTTCCCATCTTTGTCCTTGTCCTGCCATACATTCATTCAGACTCCACTACTTCTCTTACCTTCATATATCTTTTGAGTTTTAAATTCTCCAAACCCTTTTTCCTCATTATGTGTTCTAGAAATTTAACCTTTCTCTTTTTGCTCCTTTTCACATACTCTGTCTATGGTGTTCTCAGAATTCGTCAGTACATCTCTGGCGCTTCATGTTCTTCTTCATCTGCGAGGAGATCGTCTAAAATTCGCTACCATACAAAATATTAATTATTACTTTAGCACATCTGCACTCTTTTCTTTGTCTCTAACAAAGTTTCATATCTCTTAATAATTTCTTAAATTTCTGTAAGACATTTTCTTATAATTCGTATATATTACCATGACACATACACAACCATACACAGACAACACACACACACACATATATATATATATATATATATATATATATATAGAAAAATTTTCAAATTAAAAATTATAATGCTTTATTTTATGAAAGTATTTATTTATTTATATATATATTTTGATATTTCAAATTGTCCTCAATTTTTTCATCAGAAATAACTGTTTGTTACAAATTTCTGATGAAAAATTGAGGACAATTTGAAATATCGAATATATATATAAATAAATACTTTCATAAAATAAAACATTATAATTTTTAATTTGAAACTTTTTCTATATATACATATTAAGAAAGTATACGTGGCTTCTCATTATGCTATATATATATATATATATATAATTTATTCCAAAATGATTACATAAATATGTTATAAAATCACTAAAAAATAGCCATTTTGTTTCAATACTTCTGGTGTCTTATCAAGTGATGGTGTTGAATGTAGAATAAAGGGTTTTCAAAGGTTCAAGTCGACCAAACACTTTTCAATAGGGGAAACGCTGTTACATAAGCTGCAATGACCAATCAAAATACAAGTATATGAGAATTCAAAAAACTTGACAATGAATCTCGGTTATAATAATTAATGCCTTAATGTTAAGGTTAAACTAAAATAGAAATCATTCTAACTAATTAATATTAAATTTTACTATAAAATAGAAAATTAAAAATTACCAATTTTAAATTTAATCTGTATTACGTTTAAAATATAAAATTATTTAAAGAAGAAACTGAGGAATAAATACATATATTTTGTTATTTATTTTATTTTAATTGAAAGGCCAAAAACTCAGTTAGAATAAACGTTAATCTAAAGTGTATGCAAAGCTTCGTTACAACTCAGATACATTTGAAGTGTATAGTTATTTTTGTAGTGATTTTATAACATATTTATGTCATAATTTTCGAATAAATTATATTGCTCTACTCAGTATTGAGCACTGTTTTAAGAATAGTATCTTAACTGGAATTTATTCCGTATACACCAATCCTATACTTATATATATATATATATATATATATATATATATATATATATATATAATGTTTCAGATTTTCTATGTTTATAGAAGAAGAGTGCAAAGTATCAGAAATAGGGTGTTTATAAATATAAACTGCGGGGTTAGAGGAATCAAAACTGCATAGTGGCTACCAGTTTCACACCTCAGTGTGATCTCAGACCAAGTTCTTCTATATCGGGCTGTATATAAAGTCTGCTTGGTCGAAGGAACTGGCATACAGTACTGATTCTGATACAAAGTACTGAAACTGACATCTCTATCCACAAACTATATATATGTATGTATGTATAACCTTGAGCCATAAAATAATAAAACAAAAACGCTATTCCATAAGTTCCACACACTTGACACGTCATTTCTAAAATTTCGCCACCTCTTCTCCACTAAATCTTTGCTCTCTAAAATATCTTGGAAAGTCAGGCAAGCGGGAAACTTTTCAGTACAACCTGATAGATAGATAGATAGGTAGGTAGGTAGGTAGATAATGAAGATAGATAGGTAGATAATGAAGATAGATAGATAGAAAATGAAGATAGATAGATAGATAATGAAGATAGATAGATAATGAAGATAGATAATGAAGATAGATAGATAGATAATGAAGATAGATAATGTAGACAGATAATATAGATAGATAATGAAGATAGATAATGTAGACAGATAATATAGATAGATAATATAGACAGATAGATAATAAAGATAGATAGATAATAAAGATAGGTACATAGATAATAAAGATAGATAATAAAAAAGAAAGATAATAAAAACAGATAGATAATATAGATAGATAGATAATAAAAAAGATAGTTTAATCGATAGATAATAGAGATAGATAATAAAACGGCTTAGAGTGATTCATAGGTAGATATTAAGTCATAGATAGATAATAAAATGGCATAGATAGATAATAACAAAGCTAAGATCAATAGATAATAAAAACTCTATGATAGATAATAAAAAGATTAATATAGACTGATCGATGACAATTTTCAAAAAGATGTTATTTTGACATGTTTTGCCAATGACACGGCGTCATCAGGAAAAGAATTTTACTCCACACGAACAATAGATTTCTCAGCGAGAGAAAACGTGATTCACGTTGAGCATCTGAACGCTTAATTTTTACGTTATACACCCATCCACACACACATATACATTATATATATATATATATATATATATATATATATATATATATATATGGAATTTCACACAAGTTAAAACGAACTGAATATATTTCCCTGTTAAATTACAATGGATTTAAAAGCAATATCAATTGTAACCAAAACTGAGAGAGAAAAAAATTGGGGCATATTAAATGTTTGTGCATTTGGATTCCCCCCCCCCTGTGAACTTTCCTTTCAATCTACTTCGTCTTTGTCGAAATTGTTATGCAGTATAAAACTTATTTCAATCGGTAATGTGTTTCTACTCCTATGTTGCCGTGAGTTGTAACATTTTTTCTTGTAAAATTCTTTTTCTTTGTCTGGCTTGGAATTCTGACTAATAAGAAATTATTATGTAATCAAATAATAAGTAAGGATTACGTAGTCTAATAATAAGTCAAATAATATGAATTGACCAGAAAAAACGAACAAGCGTATGTAACAATCTAAGAAAAATAAGATGTGATGGCGCTAACAATGAAAAATGTATGTTGATGTTTGTCAAAATTGGAAAAAAAAAATGCTACTCTGTCCCCAATACAAAGAAGACTGAAACGGACAACAAATAAATAAAATATACTTCATAATCACAAAATGGTGATGGAGGCAATAAAAAGTTAACCAGAGAAATAACTTCAGGCAGACGATTCGAAGGCAATACAAACACAAGATGCGATAAAGTAAGGACGTTGATTTATTGGATGTTATGCAGACTTTGATTCGGCCAATGTATAAGCGAGGACTAGAAAGTGGCCTTAAAAAATAAAATAATCTACTGTAAGGATTAAAAAATGAAAACATCCGAAAGGTTGTTAGTATAACACCGAAGACGGGGATGCTGATCTGAAAAGAAAAGCATATGATAATAATTCCTGTAAAACTTCCGACAGAAAGTATATATTTATCCGGCCTGCCAGCTAAAGCAGGATGTGACACAAGGTCTTTTTTTATTGAGGGAAGCCTATACTCATACGTATGCATATGGCGCCAAGGACAAATGTTGCCCAGTCCCTGCGACCACTGTCACGTTGGCGTCGATATTACACCACCTCCTTAAAGCAATTGAGGAAACAGCTGCCACAGGGTTGCAATCCCCGGAAGCGGGCACCTTCTCCTATCTAAAATGAGGAGAATAGTTTACTCCACTTACGGCCAAAAGCTTCCCACACCAGGAAGCATAATTCCGACAGAAATTAATTTCGTAGAGTTGCCCTTGCTAATTATAATCATGCTGTACACAAACAGGCTTACGGTCGCATCACGTTGAAAAACCGGATCCCCTGCGCTCACCGAACGTCGTGCCTGGTCAGTACCAAGATGGATGACCGCTTGGGAATACAAAGTTCTGTAAGCTTGGTTGTGCGGGTAGTGTGATGGGTAATGGCACGGAATTGTTAATCGGTATGCCGAGTTCCAATTTCCGTTGGGTTCGTTAAAGTCAAAGAATGGTATGAATCCACCTCTTCTACTCCCAGCTATAGGTTAATTAGTAAAACTTGTATCGATAAACCATTATTATCTAAAAAAATTCTTACAATCTAAAAATATTTTCTCGATTTAAATAACCTGTAATGTGTTCATAAACCGTCGAAAACAAATCAATCAAAACAAATCAATTAATTAATCAAATCAAAACAAATCAATCAAAACAAATCATGTTCACAAACATCTTTTAACTTTTCTTACATTTGAATACAACTGTTTTCTCGAAACAATGATTTAAAACAACTTCAATGGAATGAATCCTGTAGGTCTTAAAGAGGACTCGTCTTCACCAAATCCCATAAACTACTGCTACAGAATCACTGTATCAAATAACAGAAACCACATGACTTGAACATTTTCAACAGCAGTAGCAACTAAGAGAAAATAATGACATAGTTAAGAAAACAGACATCCACATTACTTTAAACAAAAGGTTAGCAAGGAAACCCCCATCAATTCTAGAAAGAGTGATACTAGTTAACCCTAGAACACTAACCACGGGTATATAATACCCAGCTCAAATTTTCCTATTTTTAATTACAATTTTCAGTACCTGATTTTCTTACCTAAATAATATGTTTTTCAGTTCCTATTAATGTTAACTCAAAGTACAAAGTTTGAAGTGCCTGCATGTAAAATATTTCAAATAAAGATTTATATTTAATTTTTTTTTTTGATATTTTCAAAATCGGGTATGATATACCCATGGTTAGTAGTGGTGTAACTTTGATTGATGGTTAGTGTACTAGGGTTAATGGACTTGAGAAACCTATTTTCCTGAAAAAAGATTTTTTTAAAAAAAGGTTTTATGAAATTCATTCTGACTGTTCTGATAATGAATTCCGAATGTTTTCTTCTAAGCAAACGGTTAATCTCACCATTACTATTCTGGGCCCCAAAATGCAACATATCCTTCCAAGAAAGCTGCTGCTGCTTCTTCTTCTTCTTCTTCTTCTGTCCAATGCAAACATAATGAAAAGATAGTCTGGAGAATGCGATCAAAATCATCTGAAAAAAATACAGCAACATTAAAACGAACTACGTTCTTCTCTCTCTCTCTCTCTCTCTCTCTCTCATCCTCCTTTCCTCTCTCTCTCCTTCTCCCCTCTCAATCTTGTGTGCAGCTGGTGTAATGGATAACGACTCAGAATGAGAAATCGAAGAATTGAATTCGAATTCCAGTCGGGTTCTTTACATTCACTTACGCGCAAATATCCTTGGAAAAGGTATGAATCCTTCGTTTCCCCAGCAATGGGTTAAATAGTAGGGTTTCATCCGGAAAGATCTTTATTATTCTAAAAAGAGTGATGATGTAATATTTGTTCGAAAAAAAATGAAATTTTCTTTCAATACAAAATATGCTTCGGCTTTAAATAGCCCACAAAAGGGTTGATAAGCTGTAAAAATCATCTCTCTCTCTCTCTCTCTCTCACTCACTCACACACACACACACACACACACACACACAGAGTAATTCTGGAAGATCAAACATATGTAGAATCATATAAAGCCAATATATTATATTATCTGAATACTGTTGAGTTTCAAATAGCCAGGACAGGACGATTTGTCTTTTTGGGGAAAAATCCTAATTCCACACTCCTTTTAGAAAATCGATAAATCTTCTTCCCCCTCTTAATTTAGGCAACGAACATTCTTGGACAAGGCGTTTTATTATATTATTTAATAGAAAAAGGTGATTGGAATAATGATGTATCAGGTGGATTTTTTTTTATTTTCCCAAAAGAAAAAGCGTCCCGAATTTTAAACTCAATGTTCAACTGGAAGATTAAATTTTCGCTTGGTATAAAATGACGCAAAAAGTGCAAAGAAGCGTTGAAACGAGATTCGGTATCGATTCAAAGAGGAACCAGCTGATACCGAAATGAGGGCGGGAACAACTTGGCTTCTGGGGACAGTGAGAAACAATAAAAACAGAAAATATTGGGATTTATTCAGTTTAACTTAGGACCGTCCAAGGAGAAATGAATAAATGTGGGAGTAAAAAGATGTTTCGTCAATGGAAATGTTTCGCTAAAAGTGGAAAGGAATTTTTCATACTAAAAATCCACATTCGAAATTATGGATTTTTTTTTATCCTCTTTGTGGAAAGTGAGAATATCTTCGAGGTTTCACAATGGCTAAATATATATGAATCTTGAAGGACACAGAAGAAGATCCTTCCAGTTGATATTGGATATTTCTAACGAGATCGAGGTAACAGATTGTCAATGTCATCCTGTGAAGCTCTTTCATCTTTGGTTTGGACGTGAAGTGAAAGCAAAGCTTAAAGTTGTCAAGGGAAAACCCAATGTTATACTCTGCTCGTGTCATCACAATCGTACAGAGCATTTCAAACCAGCGTGTCGTGACGCTTTAGTGCCTTTCGTTAATGGTTAACTAATTTTTTCATTCAGCTATTTCTTTTCTATACATTTTTACTTATTCATTTTATATACGTTTTTAATTTTATATTTGACTTGATCTAGTATCCTTCTATCTTGAATATCTCCCAAGCCTTGAGATTGGATGAACCACATTAAAATAAAAGATTTAAAAAATTGCCGCAAAAACTTCTATTTTTAAAATATGTCAACAAAAAGTTTGGAACGCTCTGCTCTTTTTTCTTCTTTTACTATTTTCACCCGGTACAAGACCTAAGAGCCACTCAAAATAGAGTGCTGCTGAGTGAGGCTATATGTACATAGGAGGCGGAAAAAACGAGTGCATATTATGAGGTTATGTAAGAAATATAACGATTGAACTTGGATGTGGTTAAGACCAATGTAATGATCTGGAAGCATCCACTCGTGAGTTTGTTCCACAAAGTAGTGACTCTTGGGAAGCTGCCCAAAATGGAACTTCTTTCTAAGCAATGGAATACGAAACATGGCATGACGGGTCTTATATGAAAATGTCTGGACTGGAGGAACTAAGGAATATCAAAATAGCTTATCAGAATATTTTTCAATAGAAATAGCGATAGAATAGCGAGACATTTCAGATGTTTCGTTTTTGGGAGAGTTATTAGATGGAAAATAATTCACCACCCACAAGGTCAAGTAGACGATTTTGAGCTCTGTCTAGATTGAAAAACGAAGACTGGGCAGTTCCATCCTGGATATGGCAACAATACTCCATTTTCTTTCAGGTGTGCCTAGCATTTTTATGTCTCTTTAATATACTATCATTTTCATCTAAAGAGTGCCGGTATTTTTACTTGGTGTGTTCATCGATATGTCTTTTTGATTAGTAAAGTCAGTCTGATAGGCTATGGGTTAAATAATAGGATTTGTACTTGGAAAAATTATTATCTACAACTGTTATTTTATTGTCCTTTCCTTTCTCTAAAATCTCCTTATTCTCTTCCCCTCACAGTACCGCCTTGCAGCTCAGTGATATTATCGCCTTCTTGGAGGGGAAATGATTTAAAAACCAGAATTGTTCATGCCATGCTCGCACGCAAAAAAATTATTATTCTTACAATCCAGAATACGGTTCTAAGCATTAAGTAAATGGTTTCCAGATAACTTGACACAAACGAACTGCAATCAAACGAAATCTAACATGATTTGTTTATACTGTTGTTCACCCTAGACAAAGTCACTCAAAATAGAAGGTTATTGAATGAGGTTGTTTTAAAGGTGTAGCGAGAGGAACTGAGAAGTACATGCTATGAGGATATGTAGGATAGATAAAATTGACCGTAGACTTAAAGATCGGAGTAATCAGAGAAGCATCCTCTCAGGAATCTATTTCACAGACAGTTGTTAGGAATAAGCTGTTTGAGTGAAACTTACTCCTTACCAATGGAATATGAAGGGAATGAGGATAAGTCGATCATTCGTAGGTGGCATGGGGGGATCCTAGCTCAGACTGGACTGATGGAACTAAGGAATGTAACCCGTCTTAGCATCTGTCATCATGAGAAAGAAGTAACGCTTCCTCTGTGAGAAAGAGGTTGTAAGGTGGAAAATAAATCACCCACAAGGCCGCCTAAAGCTTTCTTTTTTTTTCAACTCTTTTAATACTGGAAAGTAAAGATTGTGCAGCTCCAGATTAGTAGTAGTAGTATAGCTGGCCACTCGTATTCGAGGATATCTGTCTACAAGGGCGGCTAGCCAATCCCTATTGCAGACGCTTGCTCAGGCGCATTTGTGTTTATTCAACGCGCACAGAGGCCACCTGTAGTTTATACTGCAACTATGATGAGCAGACCTTAGTTACAGTCTCCTGGAAAGAGCGTTATCTCGCGTGATCAACAATCTGAACAAGGCCAGCACACTCAAACCCTCGGTCACGATGACTTGTGACTCCGTGCTAGCTTCGTACCATCTACCCAATATCACTCACAAGGCTTGTGTCAACGTTTGGTATGTTTTTCAGGCACTTTACCAAAGGTGCCGCACGCTGGGATCGACCCCTCCCGTCCGATAACATCTGGAAGTTTCCTTCCTGACAAATCAACCATGGTGAAAGTCGAACCTGGGTCTCATGGTCAGAGTGCGAACTTTTTAACCACTCGGCCACGTGCCCAGACTAGATATATTAGCAATACTCCAGTTTGGGTCTGATCTGACTCTTGTAAAGATATACTATGGCCGGAGGTGTCAGGTACTTTCTGAAGCTCTACAAAGAACTATTTTTCGGCCATCTTTATTGATGGTTTGTATATATGAATTCCGCTTGAATACTAAATATAACAAATGAAATAAAAAATAGACGTTTTACTGTAAATTTGCTTCGGAATGCAGGGAAGGCTAAAGAGAGAATTTAATCGATTAAATATCGCCCGAAATATCACCAATGATGAACTTTAAAATGTAGTTCAACTGGTTCATGCCTGCCGTCCAAAAATGCGACCGTTGCCATTAATAAATTTCAGGTTGAAACTGTAGAGCAATCACGTAGTCAAACACTCAGTTTTGGAGCAAGCTGAGTGAATAATAACTCCACTTTGAGAGAGAGCTATTTATGGTGCCATGGAGCATCTCATTGTGCTAAAGTGGGATAGTCCATTGCTTGGGCTGTGATTGGCTGCTGGTACATGAATGGAGGTATTTCTGTGTAAATACCAGCTTGATTCATCAGTTAGTTTGCAGGGTTTGTATTGAGTTACAACCTGCTTTATTTTTGTCTGCCAGCTGGACGCTAGCTGGGACCCTTACGCCGGTAAGTACTGTTTATTGTATTGTTATTCTACAGAAACCTATAATTAATACCGTTCTTTTTTTATATATCTATAATACTGATTCTTAGAAACTTACAATTAAACATCCATCGCTGTATTGTCAGAACATTTTTGACTGGCTGTGCTGGCTCCTATTGGGAATAAAAAAAAACTGCGATTTAATGAAAATAAAGGCGATAAAGCCACGAAGACGCGAGGGGTAACTGAGTGTTAGAGAACATGAGAAAAATACTATTAAGAAGAGAGAACAATAAAAGAACAAGAATAAAGGAGGCAGATGATAATGACTGACATTACATTTAAATTTTTGAAGATCAAAGTTGACTGGGAAGCTAGAAGCCGGAAGAGAGTTTCAGAAGTAAGAAGTATGATAGAAGAAACTGTTACCATAGAACTTATGGTTACATCTAGCCATTTCATCTGTAAAATAATGAGACCTTGACACCAATCTAGTACTGCACAATTCATAAATTCTAAGAGGAAAGCTCGTCAGTACACTTACCATGAAAGTATTTATAGAAAAGACACGGGGAAGCTACATTACAGCTGTGGGAAAGTGACTGAAGGCCAGCTGTCATATCAGGACCAATATCACTGCAGATTCTTCTTTAGGTGTTATCAAAATTCTCTAAAGGCATAGCAAGAGCACCAGACCATATGTGCCAGCAATATTCAAAGCATGGACGAATGGTAGACTTAAAAATATGTAAGATTCTGGAGATAAAATTTTCTAGCATTGAACCAAACTTTCCTAGCAGCCGACCTAGCAATTGAATCAATGTAATCTTTCCATTTCATGTCAGTGGAAAAACGTTAACTCGAGAAGGCGCAAGGAGTCACTCTCCTGGAGGTTAACATCCGCCATGCTGATGGAATGCAAAAGGGTCTCTCAGATGATAGAGGAATGGAGTGGTTAGTATTTACTAAATCCCTATCCTGATTTTTTTTTTATGATAGATTCAGTGTAGGTAACATTATTGCTTTCATTCCAGTTCCAGATAAATAGGTTTTTGTTTTGTTTTTTGTTGTTGTTTCTTTATATTATTTTTATCTATTTTGGGTCCTATTTCTCATTTTATTATTATTACAATTTTTAATGAAGCGTTATCAGTCACTGTTAATTTTTTACTTGCATTTCTTTCATCTTAATCTCATTTTCTTCTTATTATATTAATAATAATATTATCTTTATTATTATTATTATTGTTGTTGTAAGAGGAAGCATTGTCAGCCATTGACTGGTATTTCTTTCATCTTAATTTTCGACTGGTATTTCTTTCATCTTGATTTTCGATTGGTATTTCTTTCATCTTAATATTTCGCCTGGTACTTCTTTCATCTTAATTTCTTATTGCAACAGCACTGACCATCATTCTACAATCATCAGACAACATGGAATTGAAGTAAAAATTATTAATGGTTGGCAATTCTTTAATAAAAAATGATCATATTACAACTAATAATAGTATAACTACTTCGTTTATGTGCCACGTCCCTTCAGAACACAGGCGATCATGGCTCTCCATAACTTTCTGTCTCGTGTGGCTCTGAGCAGTTTTCTTCCTTCACTAAGGACCCTACCTCCCCCCACTGTTCTGCCATCAATTAAGCGGCTCACTGCCTTTCCCTATCTCGCTTGCCCTCAATGTAAGGTTTAAGTTTTCTAAGCGATCCATTATCATTATGTGTCCAAGGAATTTCAGCTATCTTTGTCGGATTCGGGGTATAAGGATTTTTTTCTGTTTCCATTTTCTTTAAGACTTTCTTGTTGCTTATTCGCTCTGTCTATGGAATTTTCAATATCCTTAGACTAAAAAAAAGAAAACTGTTATATGATGGTGCCGTTGGGCGACCGTACAAGTTTCGATCCCCAGGCACAAATATGTTACTAAGTTTTCTACTAACGCTTAAGTTAATTCACTACGTCTAGATTCGCCTCATCAACTATAAGGCTTGTCTTTACTTTCTTTTTATTTTCCTCATCCTATTAGCGCTTAGCTTTTTCGCCTCCCTTCCCAGCCCGCCTCTCACCATCTTTTCATACAAACTGGTCAGGTAGGTGGCCTGATGTCTCCATCTCTCTCTTTTTACTTCATTTTGTCTTGTGCATGTCAAATTCTTTAGGCCCTCTTTTCTCATTATGAGTTCCAGAAATTTCATCTCTCTCTCTCTCTCTCTCTCTCTCTCTCTCATAAGCGTCCTTTTTTATTTCATTTTCCTTATGATTTGGTTGCTTATGCTCTCCGACCATGATAATGTCAGAATCTTCCTATGGAACCATATTTCTGTTGTCTCAAGTCTCCTCTTTATCTGTATCTGCAATATATAGCAGTTCGGTTCTGTTTTCTTTGTTTCTAACGAAATTTTCCCGTTTCTTAATACTTTGCTTAGCTTTTAGAAGGCATCTTTTGCGATTCCATAGCACTTTCGGATTTCAGTGTCACATTTTCCATCCCCTGATAAAACACCTTCCAGATATTAATTGACTATAAATTGATTAAAGCCGTTGTTTACTGTCAATGTACACTGGATTCCAGTGAACGTTGTTCGACCAACAAGGATACAATTATTGACACTGCGGCATCAGTTACTGTGCCTCAAATGGAACAGAGAGCACTACCAGTGGAGCGTAGACGGCGCCTGGTCAGACGATTATGTTTCCCGTTCTTTCAGACTGCCGGTCGAGTTCGTATATGTAGGAGACCGTATGAGGAGACAGTCTGTCGGCAGAGGGTTGTGCAATTTGGTTTCAACTTCACAATGATGTTGGTTCTGTTCTGTTGAAGATTGCAAAGACCACGAGCGAAACAGCAGTCTGTTTTAACAAGACTTACATACACACACCTTGTTTTAGACCGTTTTGCACCCCATTACATTCGCCATATTTCCAGCGGGTGACGCTTTCAACATAACATAATGAGCGCATGGCTCGGAAATGATTCCAGGAACACTCGGCCGACTTCCAAGTACTCCATTGCTCCGCCTCCTCGCTTACCAGATATAAAACGCATTAATCACGAACAGAATATACACAGGTCAGATACAGACGTACCTGGATAGACAGACTCACGCGACGACGCCAACATCTCTAAGACGTGTCATGCTACGTCGTGTATCTGACGTTATTCAGGCGAGGAGAGGACCTACATGTTATGAAGTAAATTTATCTTTATCAGTTATTTTTTTGGTTTGTTTATCTTTTTTTGTGGGGGAAGGTGCATTTTAGTTGATAAATGCAAGCAAAAACATGATGCACTTTGGACACGTGCTCTGACATTCTGTTAAAATCTCAGAACCGCGCTGGGGTGAACGCGTGAAAACGAAAAGTAAAAGGTAATTGTAAACAAGATAATTACATGCTTTGAATTTAATCAAAAGTTTTAGTTTTAATAATTAGATAGATAAGAACAGACTTAGATAGATAGATAGATAGATAGATAGATATGAACAGACTGAGATAGATAGATAGATAGAACAGATAGATAGATAGATAGATAGATAGGAATAGATTTAGATAGATAAGAACAGACTGAGATAAATTGATACATACGAATAGACCGAGATAAATAGATAGATAAGAACAGGCTTAGATAGATAGATAGATAGATAGATATGAACAGACTGAGATAGATAGATAGATAGATAGATAGGAATAGATTTAGATAGATAAGAACAGACTGAGATAAATTGATACATACGAATAGACCGAGATAAATAGATAGATAAGAACAGGCTTAGATAGATAGATAGATAGATAGATAGATAGATAGATATGAACAGACTGAGATAGATAGATAGATAGATAGATAGATAGATTTTGAATAGATTTTTGATTAGATAAGAACAGACTGAGATAAATTTCCTACATACGAATAGAAAAAGATAAATAGATAGAAAAGAATAGGCTTAGATAGATATATTTAGATAGATAGATAGATAGATATTTTTCAGACTGTTTGTTCTAGATTTTTAGATAGATTATTTAATAGATTTAAATAGAATAAGAACAGATCTGAGATAAATTGATAAATACGAATAGACTTTTTTAAATAGATAGATAAAACAAATGTTAGATAGATAGATAGATAGATAGATAGATATGAACAGACTGAGATCAGATAAATAGATAGATAGATAGGAATAGATTTAGATAGATTTGAACAGAATTAGATAGATAGATAGATAGATAGATAGATGAATTTGAACAGAATTATAGATAGATAGATAGATAGGAATAGACTTAGATAGATAGATAGATATTAACAGATAGAGAATAGATAGATAGATTTGAACAGAATTATAGATAGATAGATAGATTTAGATAGATTTGAACAGACTGAGATAGATAGAATAGATAGATAGATATGAACAGACTGAGATAGATAGATATGAACAGACTGAGATAGAGAGATAGATAGATAGATATGAACAGACTGAGATAGATAGGTAGATAGATATTCTTTTGTTTATGTTCTTTTGTTTATGAACTCCAGGAAAACATTAATGCATTTCCTCGAAAGTAAATAAAAAAAGTCGCATCAAATTGAGTCGAAAGAATAATACCAATCGCATTTATATATTTATTTCTTTGTATTTTATAAGATTTTCCTTTTTCTTTTTTCGTGCTGTTTGTTCTTTACCTCTCATTTTTCTGTGCATTTGTTTATTTATTTACTTCCACTTAAAGTCACAATTAAAGCAAATCTGAGTTCGATGGCCAATCTAAATTGCTGATTTATTTTCACTTTTTTATCACGGCAAGGTTAATTAAATGTTCGTTCGAATCATTAGATCTCAACTAGAATGACATGACCTGTGGTTGAAATCAGATAAATAGATAGATAGATAGGAATAGATTTAGATAGATTTGAACAGAATTATATAGATAGATAGATAGAAATAGATTTAGATAGATTTGAACAGAATTAGATAGATAGATAGGAATAGATTTAGATAGATTTGAACAGAATTAGATAGATAGATAGGAATAGATTTAGATAGATTTGAACAGAATTATATAGATAGATAGGAATAGATTTAGATAGATTTGAACAGAATTATATAGATAGATAGGAATAGATTTAGATAGATTTGAACAGAAGTATATAGATAGATAGATAGAAATAGATTTAGATAGATTTGAACAGAATTATATAGATAGATAGGAATAGATTTAGATAGATTTGAACAGATGATTAGACTTAGATAGATAGGAATAGATTTAGATAGATTTGAACAGAAGTATATAGATAGATAGATAGGAATAGATTTAGATAGATTTGAACAGAATTATATAGATAGATAGGAATAGATTTAGATAGGTTTGAACAGAATTATATAGATAGATAGATAGAAATAGATTTAGATAGATTTGAACAGAATTAGATAGATAGATAGATAGGAACAGACTTAGATAGCAACAGACTTAGATAGCAACAGACTTAGGTAAATATTTAGACAGATAGCAACAGACTTAGGTAAATAGATAGATAGCAACAGACTTAGATAGATAGCAACAGACTTAGGTAAATAGATAGATAGCAACAGACTTAGATAGATAGGAACAGACTTAGATAGATAGTAACAGACTTAGGTAAATAGGAATAGACTTAGGAACAACAGACTTAGATAGATAGGAACAGACTTAGATAGATAGCAACAGACTTAGATAGATAGGAACAGACTTAGATAGATAGCAACAGACTTAGGTAAATAGATAGGAACAGACTTAGATAGATAGCAACAGACTTAGATAGATAGGAACAGACTTAGATAGATAGCAACAGACTTAGGTAAATAGATAGATAGGAACAGACTTAGATAGATAGCAACAGACTTAGATAGATAGGAACAGACTTAGATAGATAGCAACAGACTTAGATAGGAACAGACTTAGGTAAATAGATAGGAACAGACTTAGATAGATAGCAACAGACTTAGATAGATAGCAACAGACTTAGGTAAATAGATAGATAGGAACAGACTTAGATAGATAGCAACAGACTTAGATAGATAGCAACAGACTTAGATAGATAGGAACAGACTTAGATAGATAGCAACAGACTTAGGTAAATAGATAGATAGGAACAGACTTAGATAGATAGATCCAGACTTAGATAGATAGCAACAGACTTAGGTAAATAGATAGATAGCAACAGACTTAGATAGATAGCAACAGAAATAGATAGATAGGAACAGACTTAGATAGATAGATAGACAGATAGATAGGAACAAACGTAAGTAAGAACAGACTTAGATAAATAGACAGAGAGAAAAGAACAGACTTACATCCATTGCGCCTCTGTGCTTACACGTCTGTTCTTGAATTTGGTTTGTATAGTAATTGTGAGTTCAACCTCTGCACTGAGGAGTACATACTCAGACTTCATTAGAAACAGGACTAGTTATAATTGAGCAGTACTAAACTAATTAATAAAAGCAAGACGTGATATTCCAAGAGCGAAAAGAGAATATTCTACACTGAATAAACACCTGAAGAAAGCCGTAGGGCATAACGGCCGAAACCTCATGAAAGAAAAAAACGAAGATGAGGAAATTAGTCTAACTGTAAATAATATATAGTTATAAACAAATTGTTGCCGCTTGGTTTTCAGCCCGGTGTCCAGTTTGTTTGTTTTTTTTTTGTTGTTTTTTTTTTATATGTAATGCTTACAGCAGTATCACGTTGACACACTGGTTCCCAAACAATCACCGACGTTAAGTCGAGACCGGCCCGCGCCTAGATGGGTGACTGCTTTGGAATATGTGCTGTAAGCGTGAGTTTTGGGGTGATATAATGGATAACAGACGAGATCCAATTCCAGTCGGGTTCGTTAAATTCACTTACGCAGTTGCGATAGGTATGAAACAACCTCCTCTCTCCCCTGTCGTGGGATAATTAGTAGGACTTGAATCATTATTCTCTCTCCCACAAATCTCAGAAACGGAAAATATTTTGTAGCTTTAAGTAGTTAGCAAAGTGTTGATAATCTGTAAAAAAACAAAACCAATCAATCAACCAATTATATATATATATATATATATATATATATATATATATATATATATATATATATATATTTATCGATACTCCTGAAAAATTTATTTTGATTGAGCTCTCTGAGGAGGAAGTGTAAGTTTGTAAACAGTGACTTTTATTGTTAATAATGCAAGACTCTTTGGTAAAGTGAATAGAGTTCTCTCAGTGACTGTGGGCTTATCTAAAAATAAGTACGCTTAAATCACCTTTATCCCTACCGTGCGCTAAGGGCTTAGGAGTAGAAAGTATCGATCCTAGCTAGAGACAACCGGACGTCTAGCCACACTGATGAGCTGTGATACAGCAAAACACTTTATCTGTGGATGTCAATATATATATATATATATATATATATATATATGCACATATACCTACGTTTGACGCGCGACTCGAATTTCGTTGGTTACCCAATTCATCGGGCACGAAACTTTGTGAAAGTAAAAACGAAAATGAGGCAATTAGTCCAGCTGTAACGCGCACGATGAATTGGGTAACCAATGAAATTCGAGTCGCACATCAAACATAGGTATATGTGTATTTATTAACATATACTTCTTAACTCTGTCTAATCATATTGAGCGCTATTATGTCTACACCTCTTGGCTAAATTCGGTAATTATTTATTTTCTTACCAACGTATGCATGCCAGCACACCGCCGCTAATATCTAGTTATCTCATTTACCTGACCCTATATATATATATGCTTTACAATTTGAATTAAGATACCTTTATTTAATGATCATTTTTACCGACGAATTTTAATTTTAAAATACCCAGGATTTTTCACACTGTTTATGGTATCAGTTTGTTGTGGGACACCCACTACAAACTGATAAAATTAAAATTCATAGGTAAAAATAGTCATTAACTAAAGGGATCTTCATTCCAAATGTAAAGAAAATGTTTAATGAAAATAAACATTGAACGTGGTTTTGTGAGTCAGATGTAACATATTTCAAATTCCATGTTGTGTTAATAGGAGTCGCCTGGATTATGCCAACGGATTACTACCTATATATATATATATATATATATATGCGATGCGCACAGAATGTGTGTGTCAGAATATATATATAAACAGATTCAGACGTATATCAGTGGAACACACTTAGCAGAGAGCCTATTCTTCAGTATACATTAATGTAGCTATAAGTGAATGTATCTTATCATGTGGAACAACATACCTTGTAAGTTTAGAGCACGCTAAATTTTAAAAAAAAGCATGATCTCATCTTCTGCATTTGCGTCACGCAGTGCGCCTCGCAGAAGTTTCACTCAGAAGCCACTGAGTGTCACGAAGCTGAAGTTGTCTACTACTTTGTCTTCAGTCAGAGAGTTAATGGTCGAGCCCTCCGTGTCAAGGAAAAGATAGATGAGTCTGTCAAGGTTTCGAGTAGCATCTGGTTTGACATGCATCATAAACAGCTCCTTCCGATGGGCAAGAAAGTGGAGCCACTTAAAACTTTCGTTTGCAACAAGGAAGCGAAGATGCACCTGCTATATAAACCTGTTCTCCATCTGAACTCGCATGACTTTTGATATATGTTCGTACTTGTGTACGTAAAAGTATAAGGCTGTTCGAAAAATACTGAGTGAATTAAAAAAATATTAACATGGCCCAGTGACGTGCACAGGTTTGGTGATGCTCAGTGCCAGCTCCTTGTATGCCCGAGTAAACTCAAAGCAGTGTTGGCGGGACCTAGTACTGAGAAATGTGAGAAAAGGCCTTTTAAATATGTCAAAACAGACGAAACATTAAATAAACATTTCATTCGAATTAAATATAAACTAAATTTTTATTTCACTCTTTGATTTGAATACCCTCCCGAAATGGATGCCCGGGACCCTCTGAGCCCCCCTTCTGCACGCGAAGGCAAGGTAGGAAAATGTTGTATTTGTCTGAATCCTTGATATAAAGAGTTACTGTTTTTCACATTCAGGCTAATGTCCTTATTTTTATTATTATCACAGCGTTCCAACCGTCGTACCTTCACGACATCTTCAAGTGTTTTGTGATCTCAACGAACACTCGTTGTCACTTTCGTAATGTTCGTTGTAGTATAGACATTGTAATCGCAGATACAACTATAGTAACGCCGTTGAACAATACTAGTGTCAGACGCCTTCGAATAACAATCGCACTAATACTACTTGCTTGATAATACTCGCTCGAATAGTAATCCATATAGTGATCCGAATAGAGAAATAGTATAGTGAATATAGTAGTGAATAGCGATCCGTATAGTAATAGAGGATAGAGTAGAAATAGCGATCCGTATAGTAATAGAGGATAGAGTAGAAACAGCGATCCGTATAGTAATAGAGGATAGACTAGAAATGTCGATCAATTAGATGCACGCTACCTCCCATATATGCGTTTCCTCTATGGTCACGTGGTCTGCTTAATTCAATAATGGGATCGCCTGTGTTTGCTCACTGGCGATCTATGTTCAAACTCAAGTGTCGGCAGCGACACTTTATTCCTATATAACAAGGTGTCTGTCAATCCCAATAATTTACAGGAGTAGACTAAATAAAGTTATTCATAGTGAGGGATATCTCGTCTAGTTCTTATTTCGTACTGTTCAGTTATTACTCCCCCTGGGATAATAGCGTAGTGGATTAAAGCTAAGTAAAGTATTAAGAAACGAGAAAATTTCGCTAAAAATAAAGAAATATATATGTATGTATGTATGTGTGTGTGTGTGTGTGTGTAATATCACTATACCTATATGGCAGTGGACAATTTTCCTAAAGTCGAAGATTAGACTTGCATCGACAGAGATGTGGTCCTACAGAAGGATGCTGAGAAAACTATAGACAGAGCACTTGAGCAACGAGGGATTTTTAAGGAAAATGGGAATTCAAAGGTCACTTTATACTTAAAATCAAACTGAAATTTATGCAATATCTGAAAAAGGAGGTGTTGAGGACAAGAGTAAAGCGAAAGAGCGAGTAACCCACGTAAAAAGATTATATAAATGAATATCAAGGAGAAAGGCGGTAATGAGATAAATGTTATTTAGTCCTGTAAACGATAGGAAGCTGTAGAGAGCTATTATCGCCTACGTCATTAAAAGATACGACACGCAGAAGAAAACCAAGAAAAATGCAATGAAATAAGATACTATTATGATTACATATATTATTTACATTACTCAGACCGTCCTCATCTTCATTGCTGCATTCACAACGTTTCGGCTATTGTATGCTCCGACCTTCTTCAGATGATTGGAATTTCGAAACGAACCCTTTATTTCGTCCACCGGGGTAGATTGTTCTAGTAAAAGCAGAAATCAACATCAGTCAACACCAGCTGAGTAACTCTAAGGAGTCATTACTAAACAAGGGTCTCAACTTCGTCACAACCATCAGGCGGATACTTGGACATCATTGCTCGAATCGAAGGAATAGCATTGAATTTCCCCCAGGGGGATGAACTAAGATGGAAAGTGAGACAGATACTGGAGAAAGCTAAGCCTCCCAAATCAGACAAAACGAAATTGGAGAGGCTGGCAATCAGAACCCTACAGAGGAATGAAAACATCATCATACTACCATAGCTGACAAAGGAAATGTTATTGTATTGGACAAAACGGCATATATATAAAAAACTGGAAGACTTCATTGCGAATAGTAGCCACAACAAAGTAAAGACAGATCCTACATTGAAAACAGAAGGCAAACTGTCACAAATCCTAATCAAGAACAAGGACCACTTCACACCTAAGACATACAGGCAGTTGTCACAACGTTACACCAAGCTACCTCACATATCCGGTCTCCCTATGATTCACAAAGACGGTATTCCGCTCATGCCGATTGCTAGCTGCCAAAGCTCTGGGTGCCTCCCTCTAAGTCGTTTCCTAGTAGATATAATCGACCCATTAATAGGAAAGTCACCCTCGTATGCCCGGAACTCCGCCCACTTCGTAGAAATAATTAAAGATGCTCTCATCCAATCCAATGGTGAGCCTGGAAGTAGTGAGTTTGTTCACCAAGGTACCCACGGAGGAGGCGCTCTCGGTAGTCAGGGACAGACTGGCCTCGGACTCATCCCTAGGAGAACGGACCAGTTGCACCAATAGATAACCTGAGAGAGATGCTGACATTCTGTACGCAAACAACAAAGTCAGTTATGTGCCATGCGTGATACACTCTTAGGCGATCATACGAGGCAGATTTTTTCCCGCACTAGGTTGCCATTTCTTTCTAGAGTAGACCAGTTGCCATCCAGGGAATAGATCCGAGTCTGTCGTGCTATTTACCCTGCCTGGTATGGGGAGGGGGAGAAGAGGATTCGTACCTTTCTCAAGGGTATTAGCACGTAAGTGAATGTAATGGATTCGACTGTAATTCGAACTCGGCTCTCCGATTTCTCATTAGGAGACGCTATCAATTACTCCACCGTGCCGTATTGGCTCTATTAAACCACCCAGAAAGCAAAATGGCGTAAACTGAATAAGTAATTACTATTATGTGAAAATGTTTTGACACTTTTTAAAAATGCCATGTCCCGATAGGACGTAGGCTATCATTGTTACATTGTTCATTTTTTTTAATTCTAAATTTCGAAACAAGACTCCAAAGCCACTCAATGAGGGTTACTTTTAAAATGGTTATGATGAATGAGGTGTGATATAAATAAAAAAAGGTGCTGATAGAAAATGAAAATAGGGAGGATAGGTAACAACTGACTCGACCTGAAGAGGGTAAGGTTGTCTTGTACAAGGAATCATAAATGCAGAAGTTTGATCCACAAAAATCAAGGATCACTTCTCACTTATCACAGCGTTTCACCAAGCTACCTCACATATACGGTCTCCCTAAGATTTACAAAGACGGTATTCCGCTCAGGCCGATTGTTAGTTTCAAGGTTCTGTGTGCCACCCTCTGAGTCGCTTCCTTGTAGATATAATTGACCCATTGATCGGAAAGTCTCCTTCATATGTTCGAAACTCCGCCCATTTCGGGGAAATAATTAAAGATGCTCCCATCCTATCCAACCAGATGGTGAGCTTGGACATGGTGAGTTTGTTCACCAAGATACCCACGGAGAAGGCACTCTCAGTAGTCAGAGACAGATTGGCCTCTGACTCATCTCTAGAACGGACCAGTTTTCCAATAGATAATCTGATGTTGACTTTCAGTACACAAACAACACACTTTGGAATGGGATCACACATATTTCGATAGGATGAGGGCTTAGCAATGGGCTCGCCATTATCACCAGCAATGGCGAATATATACATGGAATACTTTGAGGAAATGGCATTAGAATCTATATCTCGAAAGCCAACTATATGGTTATGGTACATAGATGACAACTTCATTCTCTGGCTACACCAGGAAGAGGTCCAGCTACTACTGGACCATGTGAACTCAATAAGATCATCGATACAGTTCACAATGGAGAAAGAAAACAATAATAAACTTGCCTTCCTGGATGTAGTAATATCTCGAACAGAGCATGGGTTCAAGACATGCGTGTGCGGCAAGCCTACGTTCACCGGACAATGCCTCAACATCAACTCCCACTTTTCAGTGTAAAGAAAGGAATCGTCCTCTGCTTACAACATCGAGCAAAAGTCATAAGTAACGACACAGTCATATGAACAAGAAATGGTCACTATAAGCAGTACCCTACAACGTAACAACTATCCCGGGTACATGACAGCAGCTTCGACAAACTGGGGTAGATGGCGAAAATATCTGTCTGCCTACCCTTTGTGAAGGGATTATCGGAGAAAATACAAAAGATTTTTGGTCCATATAACATCAGGGCAATCTTCAAAAGTGGTTCAACACTTCGCAAACACCACTTCCGTGTAAGACCCCTCATAAAGAAGAACATGACTAAGGACTGTGTGTACGCCATACCGTGCAGCTGTGGTAAGAAATATAAAGGTGAAATAGGCTACATCTTAAGGTAGGACTGCAAGAACATCGTAAAGCGGTAACACGAGGGTAAATAGAAACATTAGGCGTAGCTGACCACATATGAAGGGAAAAGGGAGATCACCGCCTCCTGTAGGACGAGGTTGAAATAATAGACAGAGAACATCACTGGAAAATACGAAAACTTAAGGAATAAGCATATATGCTAGGCCACAAAAATCTCCTGAGCTGACCAAGCATAGAAATGAATACAATATGGGAACCAGTAATAAGAAGTGCTAGAGAAAAACAATCACAACACTTGCAATATAAGCTCTGATAAAAATATGCTATAATAATAACAACGGAAAAGTTGCAATATGAGCACTGGTAAAAATGGTTGCTGGGACATTAGGTTTATAAGTCCCAGAAATTCATACACAGATGGCCCAGTGGATAAAGGCTTTGGTTAGATCCAGTGACTAGACCCAAAGAGTTGTCAGTTCAATACCAGGTTACAGCAGTGGTGAACCAAAAAACTT